TCTCTCTCTCTCTCTCTCTCTCTCTCTCTCTCTCTCTCTCTCTCTCACACACACACACACACACACACACACACACACACACACACACACACACACACACACACACACACACATATTTAACTTTTTTATTGGGTTTGGGGGGCTTACAGGGGTGTACCTTAATTTATTTGTGTACTAGGTTATGGGCACCCGGTCGGGCACCTGTGCTGGTCGCCCGACTGTCTGGCTGTCCGGGGTACCTCAGTTCCAAATCTGGGCTCTTTTTTGTTTTTCAGTGTTGTCCTTTTGGGGAGGGCAGGGGGTGGGGCAAAGGGGGCTTAAAGGGGCTTAAAAAGGCTTAAAGGGGTTTGAACTTTAAAGGGTGTTGCCTTCCCTTGAATTTTCTATGTTCGATTCATTATGGAATTCCAAGGTGACCCTCAGCCACAAGTGGTTGCATTCCAATTCTACACAACAGTTCTTTCCCCAGGATTTTTTTCTGATTTATGTATTTGATTTATTTCGTCTTTTAATTTTGAGTCGGGGCTGCCTGGGACCCAAACTTGCATGGCCGGCACTTGTGTCTGGCTACGACATTCATGTCCAGGAGTCGGGATGCAGTTGAATGTCGTACTTTTTTTACCTAAACAGGAAATTAACTGAGGAGTAGGATGGAGTTGAATAAACAGTAACAGTAAAATACTAAAAATACTCAAATACTAAAATCTTTCAGAGATGACACTCTCTTTCTTTTTTTTCTGAAGTTTTGATCCCTGTTCGGTTGTTGTTGTTGTTCCAACTTGTTTGGTATTCCTAATTGGTAACGTTTTTTTGTTTTTTTTTTTGGAGAAAACAACCCGAGTGAATGCTAGGGGTGTAACTTACGAATTTGGTATTCCTATATTTCATTTTTCTGCAGCTGGAGTTCGACTGGACAGACTCTGAAGATTTATCACAAACTTGGAAGAGGAGCTTCCGTGGCTCCAAGGTGTGGCCTCACTGATGTGGAAGGAGGGGATTGCAGAAGAGCTGATATGGAAGAGCCAAGGTTGTCGATGCAATTGATTGAAAATTTTAATCCCATCGAGATCGAAGGTTGTGGATCTAGTCGGGTCAGGAATCCAATCTAGCATCCAAGGTTACTGATTTCGGATCGAGAATCATATCCAGGATCCAAGGAATCGGATCAAGAATCCGATCGAGAATCTGATCGAGCGATCGAGAATCCGATCGAGGGATCGAGAATCCGACTGAGAATCGGATCGAGCGATTGAAAATCCGACCGAGAATCCGATCGAGAGTCCAAACAGGAATCCGATTGAGGATCCAATGTTATGGATTTAATCGGATCGAGGATCCAACGTTATGGATTTGATCGGATCGGAAACCAATCCAGCATCTGAGGTTATGGATTGAAACTGATCGAGTGAGAATTGGATCGAGGATCCAGGTTATGGATTTGATCCGATCCAGAATTCGATCCAGAATCTGATCGAGAATGTGATCAACAATTGGATGGAGAATCAGATCAAGGATCCAAGGTTTTCCCTCACGGATGTGGAGCGTGAATGTTTGTTTGTGAACTTGGCAATGCGATCCAAGAATATTATCCGACTTGGGAGAAAGGGGAATATGAACTTGAGGTTGTTCTCGGCCAATTCCTGCCTCTACCCTCCCTCTCCTGCACTCGCATTGCCGGGCAAACTGAGAAAGGGGTTTGACGTCACCAGATGGAATGTTAAGCCAGCCTTTAGTCATCGACAAGGTTCACTTTGTAAACAATCATGGTTGGTGTATGCAAGCATTCACGCGTGTGCACGCGCACACGAGATAGATAGATAGATAGATAGATAGATAGACAGAGAGAGAGAGAGAGGGAGAGACAGAGAGAGACAGAGAGAGAGAGAGAGAGAGAGAGAGAGAGAGAGAGAGAGAGAGAGAGAGAGAGAGAGAGAGAGAGAGAGAGAGA